CCCACCTCTGAACTGCCCCCGTCCTCCACTGAAACCCAGGACTAACTCCGAGGGTGGCCCTCCAGCTCCAAGTGCTGGGAAGAGGCCCTGTGGTAGGGGACCCTTTTCCGCGGGGACACTGTGTCGCCATGCAGGACGTCCTGCCAGCACACCCAGTCCTGGGGGGACCACTGCGTCACTGCCGCCTGGCAGCACTGCACAGCAGCCAGCAGGCGGGTGTGGCGCCTTCCCAGAACAGCCTTGTCCTGCTGCCTCGGGACCCAGGAGAGTAAGGTTTCAGCTGAGTCTCTGAAGAGGCCAAAGGCAGGGCACGGGGCCCGGGTCCTCGTGTCCAGCTGGCCCTGGCCTCCGCATAGATAGCTTTTGCTCAGCTAAGGCCTTTGGGAGCTTGCAGGCCAGCCCCATCATCAGCCAGCCTCATTTAGACAAAGTGCTTTGGGGGAAAAGAAACGTGTGGTGTGCCTTGGTTTTTTCCAGTAATGGTTCCACGGCTCACTCTACTCATAAGGTTTTCCAAAATAAGGCCAAAGATGAGAATTGTATCAGCACACTGGGAACTGAGGGCATATGGACTCTGTTGGTGCTTTGTACACAACCCCCCCTGTCAGACACAGGGCTGCTTGGGCCAGGGCTGGGTCAGGGTCTGGGAGGGGGAGCTACAGGTACCCACTGGATACAGAAAGAGGAAGACACTGGTCCCTTCACTTCGGGAGGCTGTCGGGGTGGCCCTGGAATTGACCTTCCATGTGAACTCAATCCACTTAATGCCAAAGATCGGAATTTTTTGAAATTTGGCATGAAATTCATGTATGTTACCTAGGAAAATGCGAGGAACAAGAATGTGAAAACATGTTCCATTGTTTTGGGTGTTCCAAAAATGGATCACTAGGCATGGAAGGATTAAGGTCCTCCTCCTAGTGTCCACACCCCTGCCCTGCCCCCAGCTCCCGAAGGCAGCGGCCCAGAGGCACCCACACATCAGCTGGAGCCAGCGCCTTGCAAGTTACTCTCCCCTTCTCCTCACTTTTCCAGATGTTTGGAATCTATTTTGTTTTGCAGTCATCCTGCACCCTGGCCAAACCTATTTCAGCGTTGGCCCAGGGCCACCGTTTATAATGAAATCCCGATGAGCATGACTTATGGAAAGTCAGATTCTCATTAGAGGGTTTCAGTCTGTAAAATCCTCCTCCTCCATTTATCGTATTATAGCTCCCATTCTTCAGTGTCTGCTCCATGGTGCTAGGGAAAAGGGTACCCTGGTTCCTGGAGTCTGAAATCCAGAAGTACACAGTCAACGTAGTCAGAGAACTTAGGACCGTGTTATGACGAGCTGAAGAGATTAAGCCCAGTCCAAAGGTCTGGCAGGAGAAAGATTTTAGCCAACCTTTTAGCCCACAGGGTACCCTGGTTCCTGGAGTCTGAAATCCACGAAGTACACAGTCAACGTAGTCAGAGAACTTAGGACCGTGTTATGACGACCTGAAGAGATTAAGCCCAGTCCAAAGGTCTGGCAGGAGAAAGATTTTAGCCAACCTTTTAGCCCTGGCTTGAGTCACTTAGGGAATGAGAGTGAAAGGTTAGAAAATGAGTATTTTAGTGGGAAAGAGAACTATTTGAAGATGGAGCCCAGGGGAGAGGGCTGGGGGAGGCCACTTGCTCCCTCTTCCTCCTCTCCTCTAGTCCAGGAGGCCAGCCTCGGGCATCCTCTGCTGGGTGGATACCACGGGCCCACCTCTGAACTGCCCCCGTCCTCCACTGAAACCCAGGACTAACTCCGAGGGTGGCCCTCCAGCTCCAAGTGCTGGGAAGAGGCCCTGTGGTAGGGGACCCTTTTCCGCGGGGACACTGTGTCACCATGCAGGACGTCCTGCCAGCACACCCAGTCCTGGGGGGACCACTGCGTCACTGCCGCCTGCCTGGCAGCACTGCACAGCAGCCAGCAGGCGGGTGTGGCGCCTTCCCAGAACAGCCTTGTCCTGCTGCCTCGGGACCCAGGAGAGTAAGGTTTCAGCTGAGTCTCTGAAGAGGCCAAAGGCAGGGCACGGGGCCCGGGTCCTCGTGTCCAGCTGGCCCTGGCCTCCGCATAGATAGCTTTTGCTCAGCTAAGGCCTTTGGGAGCTTGCAGGCCAGCCCCATCATCAGCCAGCCTCATTTAGAAGCCATGCAGGACGTCCTGCCAGCACACCCAGTCCTGGGGGGACCACTGCGTCACTGCCGCCTGGCAGCACTGCACAGCAGCCAGCAGGCGGGTGTGGCGCCTTCCCAGAACAGCCTTGTCCTGCTGCCTCGGGACCCAGGAGAGTAAGGTTTCAGCTGAGTCTCTGAAGAGGCCAAAGGCAGGGCACGGGGCCCGGGTCCTCGTGTCCAGCTGGCCCTGGCCTCCGCATAGATAGCTTTTGCTCAGCTAAGGCCTTTGGGAGCTTGCAGGCCAGCCCCATCATCAGCCAGCCTCATTTAGACAAAGTGCTTTGGGGGAAAAGAAACGTGTGGTGTGCCTTGGTTTTTTCCAGTAATGGTTCCACGGCTCACTCTACTCATAAGGTTTTCCAAAATAAGGCCAAAGATGAGAATTGTATCAGCACACTGGGAACTGAGGGCATATGGACTCTGTTGGTGCTTTGTACACAACCCCCCCTGTCAGACACAGGGCTGCTTGGGCCAGGGCTGGGTCAGGGTCTGGGAGGGGGAGCTACAGGTACCCACTGGATACAGAAAGAGGAAGACACTGGTCCCTTCACTTCGGGAGGCTGTCGGGGTGGCCCTGGAATTGACCTTCCATGTGAACTCAATCCACTTAATGCCAAAGATCGGAATTTTTTGAAATTTGGCATGAAATTCATGTATGTTACCTAGGAAAATGCGAGGAACAAGAATGTGAAAACATGTTCCATTGTTTTGGGTGTTCCAAAAATGGATCACTAGGCATGGAAGGATTAAGGTCCTCCTCCTTCCCCCCACCCAAAAGAAGCCAATTTCCTCAAAGTTCTCCTCAAACGGTGGAGTTTAGCCTGGTAGTTCAAGTTAGTTACCGGTACTCAGCTTAGGGCAGCATTTAGCGGGGAAGGATGTGTCGCTGGCTTTGGGAAGAGCACTGTCACCAAAGTGCAGGGGAGTTCTGGCTAGGACGAGTGTCCGGCTAGATATTTAAGCCTTCTACCCCTCTCCATTTCTGCAGGAGACAGACAGTGACCAGCACCCCCTGCTGGATTGAGCTCCACCTGAATGGGCCTTTGCAATGGCTGGACAAGGTCCTCACGCAGATGGGCTCCCCCAGCATCCGCTGTTCCAGTGTATCTTAGAGACCCTGCATGTGCAGGGGGAGGCAGGCTTGGGGACAGCGGCCAGAGAGGAGATGGAGAAGATCAGACCTCTACTCAACCTGCTCGTGTCAAGGAAGAAGTAACTTTTCTCCTTCAGCAAAGGTGACACCAGCCTATTTTCATGAAACACAGTAGCCAACCTAGAGATGGATTTTATGAACAGCTGTGTCACTGAACCCATGTGCCCTTCATCCCACGGTAGAGTTTCACTGCCTGCCCTTCCCCAAGCCTCCTTTTTGAAGGACAATAATCTGGGATGTCGGAGTCCAACAGGAAAGCTCTTCAGCCTAGGACCGGGCTGTGGAATCCACCCTGGAAGGCTGTTCTGGCTCTCTGGGCAGGTACCTCTTGAATGCGCATTTCCAGCCAAGCCCCTCCACGTGGGCAGAGTGGGTGAGCCCAGCGGCCTCTGTGGGGCGGGGAGCGCCCGCTGACCCTCTTTCTTTCTCCCAACACACCGATTGGTGTGACAGATGTGTTCAGCAGGATGTGGTGCAGCTGTCCCTTCTTGTGAAGCTCTTTGTCCTTTCTCACTTGGAGCAGTTGGAGGATCTGAAGCTCAGTGTGTATGCAGTATATAGTTTATCATATTGATCTCAAAGAGATTTGAGCGACATTAAATGTTCCCAAGAGATAAGGGCTGAGCAGCACTGTGCTCGGGGCAGCTCTGGCACCAGAAATACTTGCTCCATATTGTAATGCACATGGCTGTGTTGGTTTATGTAGTCAGTTGCATTAAGTAAATCAACTTAATCATGTCCTCTTTTAAAGGTTTTATATGGAATTTTAAAAATCCTGGGTAGGCGCATTGACTGGGAAGCCAGAGGACGACGCAGCACCTACTTACTTTCTCCTCTTCCCCAAGGTGAAGCTCTGCCCAGTTTTGTGGAGGAGCCACCTGCTGGCACTTTGGGAAGCTGGAACTTACAGAAGCAAATGCACCAGAAGGGAACCATCTCAGGCCAACATAGGCATATGAAAGGGCTGTTAAAATTTTTTTATACCTTTGAAAATTACAGGGTTGGTGCACAGTGGTCTGTCATCTCCTCCCTGGGATGGAAGATTATCTAGCTCACCGTGGATAACTATAGCAGTGATGCTGTGTAGAAAGTACTGCTCCCAGTGGCAATTAGGGAGAAAACTAAAGCTCACCGTGGAGGATCATCAGTGATAACTATAGCAGTGATGCTGTGTAGAAAGTACTGCTCCCAGTGGCAATTAGGGAGAAAACTAGCATAAATTATTTCAACTGGAAAAAAAGTCCTCTTACTGGCCTTTTGCAGAATACAGCAGACAAGATCGACATCTGCAACTGGTACTTTTACTCTCCGCTGCTGTTTTGTTTTTAATGATACGACATCCCACATCTTTGCATGGATTTCATGGATTTATACCAGGAAAAATAAAATGATTTTTAAAAAGGATTTCCTATGGAAGTCCTATCTTACTCCAGGTGAAGAAAATGTAACTTTTGGCAGGTTTTGAATCTCGAATGTGATGAAACTTCTGATGCTCCGTGAAGACTTGGGGCACCTGTTGGTGCCTCACCTGCAGGATCCTGTGCCCCATGGGTGTAGCCTTGAGATTTCTAGGTAGGAGCACTGCACCCCAAACCTCCCGAGGACACAGGAAGAGAAGGAATGAGTGCCTCACCAGACTTGTGTGGATCTTCCTGCAGGGGTGCTGACCCAGAACCCAGAGAAGAGGATACAGAACCCGGTACTTCCTCTGCAGGCCAGATAGTGCGATGTGAAGCTTATGCCTCGCTCAGTGGTCCGTGGACTGCTGCTTGCAATCACACAATCACAGGAAGCCCTGCGATCCTCTGGGTTGTGCATTCACGTTCCTGGTCAGTTCTGAGACCCAGGGAAAGAATATTCCATTTTGGCTTGTGTGGCATAATCACAGCTCCTCTCCTAAAAGCCACGAGCAGTGGTTTCTGAGGGCCTGCATTCTCTACCTGCTGTGGTCTCCTAAAGGCTTCCTGGGCATGTGGTCATCTTCAGGTGCAGCGTGAGTATGGAGGTCCAGGTTTGGCTGTATGTGGTCTCAGAACTCTCAGTGCTCAGATCTGATGGTCACTTCTAAGGAGGCATGGAGTTCAGATTTCGTGTTCTTCTAAAGGCTGTCTCCTTGGCCCTTTTTCTTTACAGACCGGAGGAGGACGTGTGAGAAAACTGTAACAAGTGCCCACCGCTGGCATCGCTGAGACACGTAGGGGGCCAGTGGTGTCACTTCCGTCACAGAGCACAACAGAGGTCTTTGGGGCATGTGTAATTAGTGTCCTTTCTAAGTCACAAAGCTAGTTTTCTTGGTTTTAAATCCTGTTGTACAAATGGCATTTAAACATTTACAAACTTTAAAGGTGGCTGCTGGATAGCAGTTTTAAGTACTGTTCTCTCACGCCACGTGACCACCTGTGCTGACCCCATACTCACCCCTCCCAGGAGCCAACATCCAGAACTTGTCCTCCACTCCCTCCCACCGTACCAACTTAATTTAGTAGCGCAGATCCTCACAGTGCAGACGCAGGGAGTCGCCCGGCTGGGTTGGATTACGGGCCTGTGCCAGTTCGTCACCCAGCTGGCCACCTTCCTGGCAGGCTGCAGCAAGGAGATCTGACATTTTGAGAGGAGCCAGGAGCAGGGACCTTTGACTCTTAGGAAGAACACACGAGGGTGAGGCTGCTGGCAGACTTACACCATCCTGTTGTCTGTTGTTTTTTTTTTTACTGACCATGGTGATTATTTTTTAAAATCATTAATGCATTGAAATCGAGCTGTAGCACAGATCACGTGCTTAGTTTGTTTTGTTTTTCTCCATCTCCCCTGTGGCTCCCTAGAGGCTGGATGTATTCCAGGACTAAATGCTCTTACCCAAACCGCAGAGAGGGGTTTTCTCCAGGCAGCACGAGCTTGTTGGGTGTGGACTTGAGTCTCAGGGGAGAAGGCAAACACTGCATTTCATTCTCAGCCCTACACTGCCCCTTCTGAGGCTCCGAGAGTGTCTCCTTCAGCCCTAAGAGTAGGGGCTAGGAAGGGAACCTGCCGCTGCTCTCAGGAATGCTGTTTACTAAGGGCACTGCCAGTTGCTGGAGGTGGCACAGGCTTAGCCCTGGACCCTCTTTCTGTGTACCTTTACGTGGTTAGAGCTGGGGCTTTTCCTCTTTACTAGAAGAAAACCTGAACACAGTTCATTGGTACCATTTTCCTTCATGTGGCACTGCTGTCCTTTCACGTAAGTCTTTACATTCTCTTACCCCCTTAGGGAGTACTGGGCCCTTCTCCGGTGGGTGGAAAGCAGAAAGACATTCTCAACAGGGTCTGGGTCACAAAGGGAGGCATGGCATCCCTGACAGCAGGTGTCAGCCTGTACAGAGGCCATTTAACACCCAGGCACCCCTTGGAAACGCAGCTTTCACGGGAAGGAAACCTGCAATTCATGTAAACTGGATTGAGAAAGTCTCAGTGATTCCGTCATTGATTTTTTTTTTTTTTTAAACACAGAAGTAATGTATACGCTAGCATTCTGGTGTTTTTATATTTATGTAATATTCTAAAACCATTCAGACAGTTAACTATTTAATTTTTTAAAGCTACATTTGGAAAGGTGTCTCCTCCTAAGGACAGTGGCTGGAAGAGGTGGGGCACAGCCAGATCTCAGTGTTGGTGGAGGGTGTAGTGGCTTTTTTTGGTTCGGCAGCAGAAACATGGAACCAGGCTGGCTAGACAAGCAGCAACAGTCAGATGAGGCAGCTGTGAGTCAGATCTGGGCGCTCTCCTAGGGGTAAAAGCTTCCCTGGAGACATGGAGCCGTCCTTACGGAGAAGCCTTCACTCACCCCGAGTGCCACGCCCCAGCCCTGTGACCCTTGTTCTGGTTTGTGGGGACAGGGACTAGAATGTGGAGGAGGCTGATTACCTTCACTATTCGGCCAGCCTTTTAATCTGTGTAAAAAGCATGTATGTATTTATAGTGTTTTAGATTTTTCTAACTTTTGTATCTTAAAAGCAGAGCACCTGTTTAAGCATTGTACCCCCCTTGTTAAAGGTTCATGTCATCTCTTTCCTTCTCTTGCTCTTGTAAGTGCCCTTCTAATAAACTTTTCATTGAAAAGCTCCTAGGCCAGGAGCTCACTCTGATCTCTTCTGCTGGTGTTTCTGGGAGGAGGTGGTCTGCAGGCCCCATGAACTGTGATCAGCAGCTCCCCTGGCCACAGTGCTCCTGTAATTCCCCCAGCCCCACCACAGCACGGCTCAGGGCCAGCCAGACCTTCCAAAGCAGCAGGAGGCCCTGTGTCATCCATGCAGGCATCACATTGGCAGTCCCTTAGATACCATGCAAGGCCACCTCTTGCTTCTGCTGGGCTTCTCCTGGCCAGCCCCGTGTCCCAAATCCCTCCATATTAGTTGTTCCACGGGGAGCAAGCTTTACATTCACAAGGGACTAGGTTTCCATACTGTCAGCTCTAGTGAAAAGTCATTTTCAATTCCAAATCCTAATGAGAAAGAGACTTCAAAATTGTTTCTGTGGCTTAAGATGATCAAGATGTAAAATGCTGGGCCAGGGATTTAGCTCAGTGGCACCACGCCTGCCTGGCATGCACAACATCCTGAGTTCAATTCCCAGTACCGGAAAAAAAAAAAAATCTAAAATGCCATTTGCTTACAGCAGTTTGAAAAGGTGGAATCTGGTGGTGGGGGTGGAGATGCAGCTGGAGTCGTCCTCTTCTGAGGCCTCTGTGCAGCAGTCTTCCCAGAGACTTCACGGACCCCAACCTTTACCAGGAGGGAGGCCATTCCCCAGTAAGCACCCGAGGGCTCCCTGAAAGGCACCCAATAATCACCCTTGTGATTATTCCAAAAGGCCTTCCCCAAGGTTCTGTAGATCTCTCTCAACAGCTGACTCAAAGAAGCACCTCCCGCTGAGCTCCACTCTAAATTCCAACACATTGTTAGACCTGACCCAGCACGTAACACC